AAGATTTGCTCTGGCTAAGTCTATATATTATTCTCCAAAATGTATTTTAATTCAATAGTAACAAGATCATGAAATTATAAATTAAAGCAAGTAGGTGCAGATTATCCTATTAGCTACAGAGTTACTAATGGACTAATCTGCAGTTCGAAGTTACCACAATTAAATTATGGATTAAACTGTTTTTTTTTGTTTTGTTTTTTTCACTATTAATATTGAGTATATTAAAGATGAAACAACAACAACATGATATTAATTTGAGGAGGACTCGGAAAAAAAAAATCCGAGTCCCAGATGGGATCCCAGATGGGATCCCAGATTTTTTTTTTTTTTCCGAGTCCTCCTCAAATTAATATCATGTTGTTGTTGTTTCATCTTTAATATACTCACTTTGGAGGTTGGTTGGCCGCATCTTTGATATGCTTTAAGGTGACAGCGCGATGCTGTTAGTGTTCATGAAAAAACATAATCAAGTAATTAAAACAAAAGAAGAATATTTTTGTGTGTTTTTTGATGATAATGAGTGATAGTATATTTGTATTTGGTTTATTTGGGTGGGAGGGGGGGGGGGGGGGGGGGGGGGGGGGGGGGGGGGGGGGGGGTTGGAGGAAGAGTTAGGGTTAGGGTTAGGGATAGGTTAGGGTTAGGTTGGGGTTAGGGTTAGACGTGCAGTCTCAACTGATTTCAATTGTCATAACACATGACTTGATCCACTTAGTTAAACGTTAGCCTTATCAGGAAAGGGGTGTTACGTTAAGGAGCACCGTAATTTTTAGGGAGTCATTATAACTCCAAAAATGGAGTAAAAATTTTAGGTACAGCATAACCCCTTTTTGGGGGTTACTTTAACTCCTAATTTAACTCCAAATTTGGGGTCATTTTTACTCCTGAAAAAAAAAGGTCTTTGTACTCCCAGTCTAGAGTTAAAATAACTCCAACAATGGGGTTATTTTTCTCCTTACATGGGTTGTTTTTACTCTTTTTGGAGTTAATTTAGCTCTGAAAGTGGAGTAAAAATTTTAGGTACCGGAAAACTCCTTTTTGGGGGTTATTTTAACTCCTCAATATCTGGGGTCATTTTTACTCCTGAAAAGGAGTTCTTTAAACTCCTTTTTGGAGTTAAAATAACTCCCCAAAAAATAACTTCACTGTAAGGAGTTAAATTAACCCCACTAGAGGAGTTATTATAACTCCTTGAAAATTACTGTGTGGTGAAATGGTTATGAAACCGGTCAGTGTAAAACGCAGACTGCGGACCAGAGGTGAAATGCAGACTGTGTGTAAAATGCAGACGCAGACTAAGAGTAGAACGCAGGCTGAGATAAAATGCAGACCGAGCATAAACTGTACTCGTGGAAGGGTTTAAGGGCAAAAAAATCCCGCAAATACATGTAAACGAACACTTACTTGACGACATCTGCTTTCACAAATCCATTCCTTTCTTCTCTGGAACGTTGTCGACGACCCGAAAACATAATCGCAATCTTGAACCTTTTTTTGCCGTCCGAGAGACTTCATGCTTCAACTTAAGATGCGAAGTTTTCGATATACGTGACCAGGGACCGTGAATTGTTACAACACCATGATGTTTACGCTTAAATGAAAGCTGCTGACCCAAAATACTGTACAGGAAGAATAGGGAGTAAATCATTCCAACAACAAAGAAAGATGTTCTGCATGAAATTTGGTAACCTTCTATGAAAGTATTGCAAATCAAGGTAAGCAGACTTAAGCTGTTCGGATGTTCATTGAAACTTCTGGCGAATGTGCAATGCACTTTGACTAGGAAGCGAAGTGTGTAACTGATAACGGCTAGCTATTTCACGGATTTGGAGAAGAAGGAGCACAAATGTTTAACAAAGTCTACAGTTTTCATTCTGCATTTTGCACCCATTTTACACTCAGTCTGCATTTCACCCCTGGTCCACAGATTGCAGTCTGCAGTCCGCAATCTGCGTTTTACACTGACCAGGGCGGATAAAGGTTGGGCGGTGAAACGAGCGCTCCGCTCTTCATTTAATGTGTGATGCGGAGTAGGACTGGCAGGAGC